ATAATGGACTGATGACAATTGAAGTGTCTGGAAAAAGCACGTGTAGACATGCCAGCCCTGTACATTCCCATGGCTTCATTCCGTTGATTTTCAGTAAGTCTCGGCATCTCTAGCTCGATTCCTTCACACGTCCAAAACAAATTACGACAGATTGACGTTTCACAGTTCATGTTGAAAACATGCTTTTAAAGGGCTCACACACAATGCTGCACGTCAATATTTTTCGTGTGCATCTCGTGCAATGTTTTTTTTGTGCACACGGGCAGATATTTTTTGCGTTTGGGAGTATTGTGTGAAACAATAGTTCATAGTATTGCATAATATTATACTTACAAAACCACCTAGTAATAAAATATTTGGGAAAAAAAGTGATGCGTTTTCCATGGCGCCCTGTATATTTACTTTGTAATTTTAGACCAACTGTATAATTTATGATTATAAATTCAAACAATGTATTTATATTTTCTGTAAATAATTTCCTATAATATGTAAATAGTTACTCAGTAAATAATTTTATAAAAAAAAAATATTAAGAGCTTTCTTGCCCCTTTATTGAAGTGGTTGAATTTCACCTAAATACAGCATTTATCAATCCATATTTTAATGAATAACTATCACTTCTTGCAACACTGGCTCGATAACATTGTCGGATGGTACGAAAACACGATGTCCGGTCTACACGTTAGCGTGCACGTCAAGGAATCCTTGAATATTGGGATTCATAGTAAAAGTAGGTCGTATGGCCGCTGTCCGGGTATATTTCCCTCATAGCAATATTGGGTATGTCCGTCTTCTTTAGCTCCGTCGATGCAGGAAAGTGAGACGGTAACTCCGTTTCATTTTATGTCTTCGGTATTTTTTGCTTTTCCAGGTTCAAGTAAACAGCTACAAGTGTTTTAGCCGTGGGCATGCCTACTGTGTCTGTGGTATAGTCGTTCGAGTTGGACAGACAGTTTTTATGATGAATCGTTGCTCCAGAGAATATTGGTTTATTGATTATATCCTGTGTAATGATGGTGGTGATATTATCGACGTTAAAAAATCATCAAATAGTGGTACTTACAAGGTAATAATATATAGTATTTCACTCGATTAGATTTTATTACATACTTCGAGAAGGTATTTGTTGAGTAATAAAACCTTCTAGTAGTTTATCGAGGGCTGGCCGTCCTTACCGCACGGTACAAATATTATCACCACTAGAAGCAACAAATTCCAGAACAAGCCAGAACTCATACCAAAATGGCCGCTTTATACAAATGAGTATTTAGGGGAATACTAACCCTAACCCTTTTAAGAGAAGTAAAAACTAAATTAGACCCAAGTTCAGTCTTTTAAAAAGGGTTAGGGTTACTTATCCCCAAAATTCCCATTTATATAAAGCGGCCATTTTGGACTCCGGAAGCACCCGAACCTCGATAAACTACTAGCAGGTTTTATTTGTACCGTGCGATAGGGACGGCCAGCCCTCGATAAACTACTAGAAGGTTTTATTACTCAACAAATACCTTCTCGAAGTATGTAATAAAATCTAATCGGGTGAGTATTTATATGTTTATGTACATGTACTGTCCCACGAGTGTCGCATCTGCCGTTCCAAAAGTCGACAGTAGAATCCAAGGCTAAAATTACAGACATACGTCCGCTTTAATCGCATAAACCTCGTGTACCAGTCTGATACAATACTTTAATAACGAGATAGTGATATCCGAAGAAAACACCCCAAACAGACTGGTTTCTATATTTGTGTTCTAAATGATTATTGATGTTTATGGATTTTCAGATTATGTTACCAACAGGGGCATATCTTAACGTATATATAATGAGTTCATACCTGAATGTATTTATGTATCCATCTGTGATAGATGTCGGTGCGAGTAGAGGACTGTGTGGTAATTTAACTGGCTTGTATTACAAACTACAGAATGAATTAGTATTAAGGAGTGGAAGTACAACCACTGACAAAGATTCTTTCTTGAATTCCTGGATGTAAGTAGAACTATTATCATCCAATTGCGTTGTTTTCCCAATATGTTTTTACCTATATAGCCGGGGAACGTTTGTAGTAGGTGGAACGTTGATGATAACCAATACACAATGTTAATACCATATGTAATAAATGAAGATATGTTTAATTCAGAAAACTTGGATAGGCTCAGTGCTTGGTCCCGTAATTATACCATATGTAAATGCAACCCGATACTTGATGACGGCGTCACAAATAAAATCGATTGTTCACCATACAACAAACCAGTTACTTGTATGTGGAATTCAGAACATTTGACCAGTTCGCAAGATGTGATTGATACCCACAATAATAAATGATAATAAATCTCCAGAAGCCAAAAACACTGGTGTAGTTCTAGATTCCACAATGTCCTTTAGCTCCCACATCAAATTTGTTTGTTCTTCCTCTTATTTCCATCTTCACAGAATTAATAAAATAACGAAATATCTAAATGCTGGGAGTACAGAACTCCCCATTTATTCATTCTTTACAAATAAACAAGACTGTCATACTGCCTTATGTTTTGGCCTTCCGAATTATCATATTCAACACCTTCACCGAATTCAAAATACCGCCGCCAGAGTTTTGACAAGTACCAAAAAAATCACACCACATCACCCCGATCCTGGAAAATCTACATTGGCTCCCAGTTCAACAACGAATCAAGTTCAAAATATTACTGTTGACTTTCAAGGCGTTACATGATCAATCACCAAAATATATCAAAGATCTGATTACCCCATATAAATCCACAAGAACTCTTAGATCCACAGATAAACAATTTCTGTATCAACCATCAGTGAATCTTGAAATAGCAAAAAGATCTTTCTCGTTCTCTGCTCCTCTTTTAGTGTATTCATAACTGCATTCGTCGTATTCGTAAGCACTATTCGGCATATTTGTAAGCAATTTGGCATATTGGTAAGCAATCCGGCATATCCGTAACTCATTCGCAACCTAATCTCTTCAATTCGTATAGATGGTTCATTTCTTACCTTTATCGTAAAACCACCTTGACACATCAGGCATATATTTCGTTCTATTACCTACGAATTATCGTAAACCATTCGTAACTGCTTCGTGGCTTCTCCAGATTCTCTGCGATCTTTTTTATGTTTTATATTGTTTTTTGCCGAATTGCCACGAATTTCGATTCACCACTATTCATGGCGGTTCGTAGCATTCGTGAACAACGTGTGGCTTCAGATTGTAGCTAATTGTTTGTTTGCTCAAACAATTATTTATCCCCATGAATGACCAGTTGTTAATCTCTTCAATGTTTATTTGACTGTTAAACATACATTATGCAAGAGCTAAATCTGATATTTGCAAGTCTTTATTTAGGCTTCAGATGTCATAGAAATTATAAATTAGATCTTTATTTACACAATAAGCACAAAATCATACCCTAAGGATGATCCCTATTGTTTTTGGTGCATGCCTGACCCCAAGGGGCAGAGCCACGCCCATTTTGTGTATTTCTTTGTTTGTCATCTACAGGCCACATTTCTTAACGTATCATATTGAAACTTTGCATACTTATTCTTTGTACCCTAAGGAACATCCCTATCGTTTGGGGTGCATGCCCAACCCCCAGGGGCAGAGCCACGCCCATTTCCTTTTTGTGTGTCTGTGTGTCGCCTACACCCCAGGGGCAGAGCCACGCCCATTTCTTGTATTTGTTTGTTTGTCGTCTACAGGCCGCATTTCGTAACGCATGATCTCGAAACGTTGCATACTTATTCTTTGTACCCTAAGGAACATTCCTATCGTTTGAGGTGCATGCCCAACCCCCAGGGGCAGAGCCAGGCCCTTTTTCTTTTTGTGCGTCTGTGTGTCGCCTACAGGCCACAATTCTTAATCGATCGTCTTGAAAATATTTCATATGAATTCCTTATACCCTGCCACTGCATGCCCGACCCCCGTGGCAGAGCCACGCCCATTTCTTTTAGTCATTGTTTGTCATCTACAGACTGCATTTCTTAACGTATCACCTTGAAACTTTGCATACTTACTCCTTCTATCCTAATGAACATCCATATTGTTTGTGGTGAATGCCCAGCCCCCAGGGACAGAGCCACGCCCATTTTCTTTTTGTGTGTCTGTATGTCACTTACAGCCTGCAATGCTTAATCGATCATCTTGAAAACTTTTTTATACTTATTCCTTATACCCTAAGGCTGACCTCTATTATTTTTGGTGCATGCCCGACCCCCTGGGACAGAGCCACGCCCCAAATTTCTGTGCCTTTTGTGTCGCCTACAGGCCGCAATTCTTAACATTTCGTTTTGAAACTTTGCATACCTATTCCTTTTCAATAAGGATGCCCCCAATTGTTTTTTGGGGATTGCCCAACCCCCAGGGGCAGAGCCACACCCATTTTTTTGTGTCTCTGTGAGTTGCCTACAGGCCACGATTCTTAATGGATTGTCTTTGAACTTGGGATATGTATTCCTTATAGCCAAAGACGACAACTGCATATCACGACCCCCAGGGGCAGAGCCACGCCCAATTTTTATGTTTATATTATTTACAGGCCGGAATTCTGAATGGATCAACTTGGTACTTGGCATATGTATTCCTTATAGCCTAAGGGCATCAACTATTGATTTTGGTGAATGCCCCGACCCCCAGGGGCAGAGCCACGCCCAATTTTTGCCTTTAACCCCCAAAGGCCACAATTCTGAATGGATTATCTTGGAACTTGGTATACTTATTCCTTATATCCTAAGGACGGCAACTATTGATGTTGTCATTTCAATAACAGGATGGTACTTATTTATATTGTTTCCATATCCAACCCCCCACGGGCAAAGCCACGCCCAGTTTTTGTATTTATAGTCTACATGCTGCAATTCTGAATGGATCATCTTGGAACTTTGCATATTTATTCCTTATACCATAACGACAGCAACTATTTATTTTGATGCTTGCCCCGACCTCCTGGGGCAGGGTCACACCCACTTTATTGTTAGTATTTTGTCTGGATATTTGGCAAAACAAACCCGACGCCTAGCCTTCTTTGCCTCTGATCATATTACAGCCATTTCATATTTCATTCTCTTCATTTTAAAAAGTACCATATATCAATCAAAGCTGGAATGTGGACGTATATTGCAGCGTTAGCGATGCTCTTGTTGAACTGTTATAGCAAGAATGGCTAACTCCTTATAAAAATCTCCCGTAATGTTTCTTTAATGATTCCCGCAGAATATGTAATGCGACTAGTTTCAATATCGACTGTCATTTTAACAAACATTGTTTAGTTAGGAGGCAATTCAAACGTTTGTAAGAAATAAATAATTGTAATTGTCTCCAGTTCATTTGAATATTTCAAGGACTCCTCCTGGTGAAGATATGTTTAATACAGACAACTTGGGTAGGCTCCGTGCGTGGTCTCGTAGTTATAAAATATGCAAATGCAAGAAGGGACCTGATGGCCATGTCATAAAAGAAATCGATTGTTCATCATACAACGAACCAGTTATTTGTAATGAGGATGAAGAATTCAGAAAAGTTCACAAGAAACGCTGCATTTCACCAGTCCGCAAGAAGAGATCGATACCCACAATAAGATACCACCCGGAGAATCATAGACGAATTAAAAGGGTAAAGTATACATACACTATTTTGTTATAAAGTGTTTTATATTTTCCTTCTATTATTGTTTAACGTCCTCTTCCACAGAGTGTGAGATAGAAGATAAGTCGTATCGCGCATATCGGACCGTAACTTCCTGAATTATGGCCCCTGATTGTACGACAAATCATGTTTTTAGCTTGTGGACCCTATAGAGGTCACAATTTTAATCCTATTTTGATGAAACTTGAAATGTAAGTTTATAACCCAAAGATCGTGGTTCCTTTCGATATTCGCGCATATCGGACCGTGATATACGTATATCACCGTTACACCCAAGAGATGGCTGAGTTCGAATTTCGTAAAAATCAGACCACAACTGACAGACAAAATGGCCCCCCCTCGTACTCGAATAGTGTAAAAAAAAATATGGTATATCAATGTTGTGGACCCTCTAGAGGCCACAATTTTCTTTTGATTTTGATGAAACCTGAAATGTAAGTTCATAGCCAAAAGATTTTGATGAAACCTGAAATGTAAGTTCATAGCCAAAAGATCTTGGTTCCTTTCGATATTCGCGCATATCGGATAGTAACTTCCTGAATTATGGCGTCTGATTGTACAAAAAATCGCGTTTTTAGCTTCAGGTCCCTCTAGATGTCACAATTATTATCCGATTTAAAACAAAACGTTCAAATATATCATTGTTAAACCCTAATGTTGGTTGAGTTCGAATTTTGTGAAAATCGGACCTAAACTGCCGGACAAAATGGCCACCCCTCGTATACGATTAGTGTAAAAATATGGTATATCAATGCTGTGAACCCTCTAGAGGTCACAATTTTCTTCTGATTTAGATGACACTTAAAATGTAAGTTTATAACCCAAAGATCTTGGTTCCTTTCGATATCCGCACATATCGGATCCTAACTGCCTGAATTATGGCCCTTGATTTTAGACCATAACTTTCTGGATTATTGTCCCTAATTGTACAAAAAATCCCGTTTGTTTTTAGCTTGTTCTCTATCCATCTCTTGCAAAATGTGGGCGTATCCTGCCTGGCAGCCGCTGTTTTTTCTGTCGTTTTGGGACAGACCGAATGAGAATAGGGACATTTTACCTGACAACGGAACTACGGCCTACTTTTATATCGGATTCCAACTTTCCAGGGTTCTTTTACGTGCACGCCAATGTGTACACGGGACCTCGGATTTTCGTCCCATCCGAACGACTATACGTTTTACCTTCGATGACCTCTGTCCTGCACCACCGACAAGGGGGAACCACGCTGGATATCTAGATGAACTTTCTCGGCCTACGCATCAGAACCTTCAGGTTAGCGAGCCAACGTCTTACTCGTCGTGGCTCCCATGTAGCTTGGAATTTTCAAACATTAATTCAGAATCTCCGTGCAGTGTGTCAAATTATGTGTATTATTCTTAAATTGATTTAAATCAAAGTCTAAAATCATGTATAATATCATTCTGTTAATCGCTCACGGTGGCTCAGTCGGTAGGACTTTTGTTTCCTAACCTAGAGGTCCCGTGTTCAGTCCCTGCGTTGACAGACAAAGTTCATCGGGATGTCCCCTTGGGGTTCCCAGTGATGTAAGACGGAGGTATAGTTATTCAGATGGGATGAAGTTGCATGCACATAAACCAACCATTGACAGTTGGAATTCGAAATAAGAGTAGGCTGTAGTTCCGCCGTCCAGGAAACATATTCCCTCATAGCACACTGCATGGCACATACAAATCACCATTAGCTCAGTAGAAATAGGACGTTAAACGCCATTTCATTTCATTTTTTTGCAGTGCCGCCGTCCAGGCAAAATTTCCCCCTATAGCACAATGCATGGCCTATACCAGTATCCATTTGTCCAGTAGAAGCAGGACGTTAAACGCTATTTCATTTCATTTTTTGTAGGATATAAGTTGGAAAAATGGGTGGACCAATGAGTCTGCTGCGAAATATTGTGAGAATATCTTTAAATCTTCAAATTTGGTTAATCGGTGTAAAGAGGTACCTGGCGTTGATGTTTCATCTCCAATGGCAAGTTGCGTTACTGATATTCAGGTAAGCAGGAACTTAATTAATTCAAGTTCATGATGCCAGATCTATTGTCTTAGTAATTCCCTTTGGTTGTGCAACTTCATAATAGTTTAAATGACTTGAGATTCGTTTTACACGCCCACATTCATAATATGGACGTATTATGCCATCACCCCTGTCTGTGTGTGTGTGTATGTATATATGTTTGTATGTCTGTGGGTCGCCTACAGGGCGCAGGTCTTAATGGATTTTCTTCAAACTTTGTATACTTATTCATTATACCCTAAGGATGATCCCCATTGTTGGCAACATCACATTACCAAAACAAAGCATTACATTTTGAATGGACGAAACAAGCTGTCATGATTTCACGGTCTGTCGTTTATCACGCGTTTGTTGCAATGGATTTTTTTTCCTATTCTATCTTTTCAAATTATACTGCTTTTCGTATTCATATTCTTGTTTTTATTTTGAATTTAAGCTAAGTGGAACAACAGATTTTTCGTTGGCTGCTGTAAACGCTATACGAAGTCAGTGTTTACGTGAGGCTAGTATGAATGTTACTCTTCGGCAGGAAACTAGTCCAGATAAACCTTCTGTGTTAAAACTAGTTAAAGCTGTAGCTTGTCCTGCAGAGTGTTCAGAAAGAGGTGACTGTGTTAATGGTAAGAACACGTATTCAGATATGCAGTTGATTATTTAAAAAAGTCGCTGTGTATTCAGATATGCAGAAGATTGAATTCTCTTACAGGGCTGCTGTAGCTGTGTATGATTTGAACTTTCAAATCAAATGTGAAAGAATCCTTACCCTTTCACCAAAGGCTACGGGATTTGAAACATTCAAAAGATATTCAGTACTTACAAGTGATATTAATTCTTGAAAACTTATTAATTCTGGTATTATTGGATGAGTTCTTTGTGATCGTTATTTATTTTTTAATATCTGTGATTCGGGGCGATCCGTAGCTCATATGAAAGCGTTTTTTTCAAAAATCACTTACGAACGTTAAGAGCCGTCTACGAAAAAGTTCGAATTCGGCGCTATTCTTGGCATTCGTGATCGTTATTTATTTTGTAACATCCGTGGATTCGAGGCGATTTATTTTTTAACATCTGTGATTACGGGAGTGAGGAGAGAGCAAGCCAGATGGTTGGCAAAATATCTACACAACCATTGATTTGTTTCTGTGGGAGACATAACAGAATAGCTATTACTCTATCTGTTTTATACCCATAACTGTTCTTGCATGACATAAGATGAACCCAAGTAAAAACTGATCGATTTGCATAATTTTTGAACATATACATATTTTTGATTGTATATGCTCTTAAATTCCATATGTAACTCTTATTCTGGCACATTTTCTCTTAGCATATTTTATAATTAGTCTATATTAACAATTTATGTAATCAACAGGTACATGTGATTGTAATGATGGTTATTCGGGACCAGATTGTTCTGTTGATCTAAATCAACCACCTCTGGCCGATAGTCTGGAAGCGAACGGGTATTGTAATCGCACTGATAGCAATTGTGACGAGATTGCAGTATTTGGTGGACCTTTTATAGAATCTGACAAATTCAAATGCCGACTGCTGACCCTCGAGGTTCGGTAATCTATCGTACTTATATAAAAATTTATATGATTCGGAAGTGTGTTGCCCTCACCCATGTCCGCCTATCAACAGTTCAACAACACAGTATACAGGCTACATCTTTCAGATTGTTCTTTTCGAATGACTGAGCTAGTTATAGGGAAGTTCATAGTCACGGACTTATTGACCCTAATACTGAATCTTAAGAAACACTATGGGTTTTGCAAGATTTGTTGAGCTAGCCATAAGCTTGTCATAAGAGAACGAAGACGCCCATAGATGTTTAGCAATTTTTGACGTCAATTTGTTTTTCGATTGTGCCCTTTCCTTTAGACACCTGATTTTCTAACTATATCGGGGGAAGATCCTACCGATTTTCTAACTTTATCGGATGAAGATCCTACTGATTTTTAGCTATATCTATAGTGGACTAAACGGGTCATATTTGATCATTTAACTGCATCATCCTTCATTAACGAATATCACCAATTTCAACATTAATTGTCTAAATGTTTCAGTTTCCTCTAAAATAATAACCACTGAAAAAACATCTATTTTGTGTGTTTATGCCACTATTTTGAAATAGTATCGAGTTTTTCTGAATATATATTCCAGCCCAAATATTCGAATTATTATGTTTTATTAGAACTCCCAACCCAGCTACATTTTACAAAGGGAATAAATAATGGGTTGAGTTCAAGACACATCTGTTTATAAATGTTTTGTATTTGATACAGTCAAACGCAGAAGTAGACATCACAAATGCTCCAGTTGTTGAAAGTATTGGTGAAGTCACGTGTCCACTACCTGTTAATAGACAAAAACGATCAACAGGTGTTCCCGTTGTAGACACAACAGTACCAAGCTACAGGGTAGCTGTGTCCAATGATGGACAACTCTTCAGTCGACAGTTAACAGTGGTTATCATGAATTCCAATTGCATGGACTGTACGATTGGTGCCGAGACCGTGACATGTAGAATGTTTGTAAGTATATGTCTTTATTCTCCCTAACAATATCTTCTGGTCGGTATAATCAGCCCGAAAAAAATGCACATTTCTTAAAGATACATTATGGGAGATTAGATAAAGAGCTGGCAGTTCTGACTAAAATAGTTCAAAGCTACATATTGTAAAGAGAATTTGCTGAAAATTTCAGTCAAATTGATCCACTATGAACCGAGATTTTGGAGATTGAATTTTCGGCCTAGCCTCGATCATCATTACTAAAGTCGGTACTATAAAAAAACATAGTCTCGATTATCCATTTCATGATTTAATTATGAATGGAAGTCGAACATCAAATCGGAACCTAATCCAATAAACATCGCAGCCTAGCGATGCCATCGAGAGTTGATTATGGTCTGGATAAGTTAATTAATGTCTAATTAATAATTTAGATAACATTTCAGGCCTAAAAAAAGACCTGCAATAGGCAGATTTACCTCTTGCATAAAGTAGGTTTAATATAACATATCGTTATTAAGTAAAACATTTCAAATCCCTTAATCCTTGTTAATCAATGAATATATGTTTATTTGCAATTTCTTTTCTTTTATATGCTATTTCTATTTTTAAATGCCTTTCCTTGAAAAGCTTATGTATGATATACATGTACTTTGTAAATATGTGTGAAGCCGTAATTATTATTATAACTATAATGAATATAAACAAAAGTAAAAACAAATATGCATGTGTGATTTTACCACTACGGTGATTTCGACCAAATCGATCAAATGTTTAAGATTAATAAGCAAGCAACTAATGTGCCTTTGTCATCGAAATAAACTGCTCACCATTAAAATAATAAGCAAAAGAGGGTGCGACCTTTGTTGACACTTGAAATATTTATCAAGATTACGGATTTGTAAAATTATATCAACTAAATGGATCCAGTAGCAGCAGCCGATAAAATTAATTATCGGCACATGAAAAAGGACATTACCTCCCCCTGCTAAATTGTTTCCATTGATTGTTTTGAAACATGCTTAGATTAGTTAGGCATACATTATGCAAGAGCTAAATCTGCATATTGCTTGTCCTTGTTTAGGCTTCAGATGTTATAGAAAGTATTAATTAGACCTTTATTTACACGACAAGCTCAAACTCAACACTACAGACCCACGGATGGCTTGGATACAATTTGGATTTAAACAGTCGTCCATTTAAAATTAAATCAATAAATGGCGGACCAAGCTAACGTTTACCGTTAGTCGCCATTGAGCATGTTACTTGATAATTGAGAATATGTGGGTGGAATTATCGTCTGTCAATCAAACGATCGCCAATTCTCATAGACGGTGCAGACACAATTTCTAGTCCAAACTTCCAACACTGACAATTCCGTTCAGAATAAAGAAATTTGACTGAGAGTTCAAACATTTTCTTTTTTTTATCATCTATTTTTGAATTATTATAGCAAAAATGGCCAACTCTTTATAGAACTCTTAACTAATGTATCTTTAAAAAAATATCCCCTAATTCGTGAAGGGTCCATGATTTGTCTGAAATGGTTTCATTTCGTGTGCTGTCCTTCATTTATACTGTCTGAAAGTGTGGCGAGTTGGGACGTGAACAACTTCTATTAATTAAAACAATACAGTCAGCCGTTGGTGGTAAATATTTTTTCTAAACGGAGGTCGGATATGAATAGGCTATTAAGATTAAGGAACACCAAAATTTAAACCTTGATCACATCTGTTAATTTCGACTTCTATTATAGGACGATTATTGTTATACGGAGGAACGATGTTATAAAACTGGTGAAAGGTATATATATAATGATGACTATCAATGTACCTACGGACAGTGGCAAATCATAAGTATGTAGAAAGTTACGTTTATTTGTAATATATGGCATAAATAAAACATGTGTTCCGTCCCCACTGTCAACTTCTCTCATGGAGATTTCATGATTTTTGTCCCCCGCCTTTCGAAGAAAGCAGAGGACTAATAAATGGGTTCGTCTGTCTGGCTGTCCGTCCGTCCGTCTGTCCGTCACACTGTTTGGGACATAATAACTCTCTTTCTAATTGAGCTAGAATGTTCAAATTTGGTGTAGGTGTTTGTTAGGTCAATGCCTTGATGAAGTTCGAAGATGAGCATTTTTTGCTTAGGGTAAGGAGCGATGAGCAATTAGACTGGTTGATGCTTTGGGAAACGATGATTTTAGTTCTAATTAAGTGAGAGTGATGAAACTTCGTGTATAGTTTCATTACATCAATACCTTGACTAAGTTCGATAATGGGCATTTTCTGCTCAGAGTAAGCAGAGCGATAAGCAATTTGATTGGCCGAGACTTTGGAACACAATAACTCTCCTTCTAATTGAGCTAGATATTCAAACTTGGTGTAGGTGTTTATTAGGTCAATGCCTTGATGGAGTGTGAAGATGAGCATTTTCTGTTTAGGGTAAGCAGAGGTAAGCAATTTGATTGGTTGATGCTTTGGGACACGATAACTTTAGTTCTAATTAAGTGAGAGTGATGAAACTTGGTGTATAGTTTCATTACATCAATACCTTTGACTAAGTTCGATGATGAGAATTTTCTGCTTAGGCTAAGGAGCAATACGCATTTTGATTGGTCAAGACTTTGGAACAGAACAACTCTTCTTCTAATTGAGGTAGAATGTTTAAACTTAGTTCAATGATTAACATATCGAGCTAAAGCTAAGCAGAGATAAGCAATTTCCTTGGTCAATGCTTTCGGGACAAGATAACTTTGATTCTATCTGATAGAGAGTGATGAAACTTAGTGTATAGTTTATAATCAGTTTGATTGCTTGATACTTTTGAAAAAAATAGATGTGCGATTAATTAATATGTGTCATCTATTTATTTGGGGATTTCGGCGGGGGACATCAACCTCACTGTTGGCTTGTTAATAAAAGAGAATTTCCATTTTTGTATCATCGTAAAGGTAGACTATGCTAAAAATGTGTCAAAGCTTTTAAAATATTTTCATGGGGTCTTCGCAAATTTGTATGTAAAATGTTTATTTCAATATTTGATTTGACACCCTGCAAACGGACTAAGTTATCGAAGTATATTTTAGAATTTCTTTGCTACCTGGACTCTCTAAGGGTTTTTTTGTGTACAAATATTTTGAAATTTTGTAATAGGGAATTCTGTGTATTTGTCAAATTAAAAATTGATTCATACGTAACACATTTCTCTTACTGGCTTTGAAAAATAGACGAAGTTATAAATCTTCTCTGGTTTGTTTTATAATAACATCAGAGTTTGAAACTTGGGCTCAAACAAAGAAAAATGTGAAATAAAAAAATGCAGGTCTAAGAAAGTAAAAGAAAAATATATAATTAACAAAATTATTAAAACAATAATGTTAATGTCCTTTGGTTTTCTCGTTGTGTGTGCATCTACAATAGTTATTTATAGCTCTTGTAATTTGAGACATAACTAATCATAATGTAACTCGCACCTGTACCCCTGGAAAAATTCGCACTCCATCAATGACAAGTAACGTGCTTTGGTGGGTATGATATCATAAGCACAACAAGCGCCATGGTCATTCCTCAGTGTTTCACATTTTATGCATTGTGTTTATTTGTGATTATTTATATGATCCTAAAGATGTACATGTATTAATATTAATTGATATTGGAGTAGAAACATGCATTTTACACTTCCTCTCACACTCAAATGTCCTCTCTTATCATCGCTTTTTAGCTACTACAAGTTCTGATGGTAGCACTTCAAGTTCTAATGGTGACCCTACAAGTTCCTATGGTGGCCCTACAAGTTCCAGTGGAGACCCTACAAGTTCCAGTCGTGGCACTACAAGTTCCAGTGGTGGTACTACAAGTTCTGATAGTGGCACTACAAGTTTCAATGGTGGCACTATAATGTATAATGGTGGTAATTCAAGTTCCTATGGTGACCTTACAAGTTCCTATGGTGACCCTACAAGCTCTAATGGTGGCACTACAATATTTAATGCCGGTACTACAAGTTCCTATGGTGACCCTACAAGTTCCAGTGGAGACCCTACAGGTTCCAGTGGTGGCAACACTGCAGGGTCTAATGGTGAAAAGAAAAGCCTTGATGGTAGCACAAATTCTAGTTCTACTACACAACTCTATTCAATGATGATATTACTTTGTTCAGTAGCCTTCTTGTTTTAACCTTTAATATCACTGGCCAAACGAAAGAAACTTCACGATTTGAATTATATTGTTTTTACATGGAAACACAGATGAAAAAAGGTCTAATTAACGTGATATTTACCTATTGCATAAGTCTACGTATCGAGATTCAAAGCTGTATAGGGTCGAACTTTGACCGAACGGTCTATTAAACTTTTGAAAATATAATCATCATTTACACGTCTGTCTACTTGATATTCCTAATGTAATTAAAATTTTAGACATAATTTGTCTTCTCACCTAGCTGGACATCCTCAAGCAGGCATCAAATTAATGAGGGTTTTTTTTCATATGCAGAATACATATCGATACGTATTTCACCTTTCAAATATTTTTCAACTTATTTGTTCATTTCAAATATGTTATTAACTTTGCGTGTACTTTACCTTTAAAATAACAAGTATTTAATAACATCGTTTATAACCTTCTTGTGTATTTCACCTTCAAAATACCAAATATTTTACAACTTTCCAGTGTATAAATAACAGATATTTTATAACTTTCCTGTGTGTTTAATATTGTTCTTGTTTATTTCACCTTCCAAACACCAAATATTTAAAACTTTCCGGTGTATAAATAACAAAAATTTTATGACTTTTATAAATATTTTATAACTTTCGTATATATAAATAACAAATATTTTATAACTTTCGTATATATAAATAACAAATATTTTATAACTTCCCTGTGTATAAAAAACAGATATTTTATCACTTCCCTGTGTTATAAATCTTCTCTGGTTTGTTTTATAATAACATCAGAGTTTGAAACTTGGGCTCAAACAAAGAAAAATGTGAAATAAAAAAATGCAGGTCTAAGAAAATAAAAGAAAAATATATAATTAACAAAATTATTAAAACAATAATGTTAATGTCCTTTGGTTTTCTCGTTGTGTGTGCATCTACAATAGTTATTTATAGCTCTTGTAATTTGAGACATAACTAATCATAATGTAACTCGCACCTGTACCCCTGGGAAAATTCGCACTCCATCAATGACAAGTAACGTGCTTTGGTGGGTATGGTATCATAAGCACAACAAGCGCCATGGTCATTCCTCAGTGTTTCACATTTTATGCATTGTGTTTATTTGTGATTATTTATATGATCCTAAAGATGTACATGTATTAATATTAATTGATATTGGAGTAGAAACATGCATTTTACACTTCCTCTCACACTCAAATGTCCTCTCTTATCATCGCTTTTTAGCTACTACAAGTTCTGATGGTAGCACTTCAAGTTCTAATGGTGACCCTACAAGTTCCTATGGTGGCCCTACAAGTTCCAGTGGAGACCCTACAAGTTCCAGTCGTGGCACTACAAGTTCCAGTGGTGGTACTACAAGTTCTGATGGTGGCACTACAAGTTTCAATGGTGGCACTATAATGTATAATGGTGGTAATTCAAGTTCCTATGGTGACCTTACAAGTTCCTATGGTGACCCTACAAGCTCTAATGGTGGCACTACAATATTTAATGCCGGTACTACAAGTTCCTATGGTGACCCTACAAGTTCCAGTGGAGACCCTACAGGTTCCAGTGGTGGCAACACTGCAGGGTCTAATGGTGAAAAGAAAAGCCTTGATGGTAGCACAAATTCTAGTTCTACTACACAACTCTATTCAATGATGATATTACTTTGTTCAGTAGCCTTCTTGTTTTAACCTTTAATATCACTGGCCAAACGAAAGAAACTTCACGATTTGAATTATATTGTTTTTACATGGAAAAACAGATGAAAAAAGGTCTAATTGACGTGATATTTACCTATTGCATAAGTCTACGTATCGAGATTCATAGCTGTATAGGGTCGAACTTTGACCGAACGGTCTATTAAACTTCTGAAAATATAATCATCATTTACACGTCTGTCTACTTGATATTCCTAATGTAATTAAAATTTTAGACATAATTTGTCTTCTCACCTCGCTGGACATCCTCAAGCAGGCATCAAATTAATGAGGTTTTTTTTTCATATGCAGAATACATATCGATACGTATTTCACCTTTCAAATATTTTTCAACTTATTTGTTCATTTCAAATATGTTATTAACTTTGCGTGTACTTTACCTTTAAAATAACAAGTATTTAATAACATCGTTTATAACCTTCTTGTGTATTTCACCTTTAAAATACCAAATATTTTACAACTTTCCAGTGTATAAATAACAGATATTTTATAACTTCCCTGAGTGTTTAATATTGTTCTTGTTTATTTCACCTTCCAAATACCAAATATTTAAAACTTTCCGGTGTATAAATAACAAAAATTTTATGACTTTTATAAATATTTTATAACTTTCGTATATATAAATAACAAATATTTTATAACTTTCGTATATATAAATAACAAATATTTTATAACTTTCGTATATATAAATAACAAATATTTTATAACTTCCCTGTGTATAAAAAACAGATATTTTATAACTTTCCTTTGTAAAAATAACAAATATTATATAACTTTTCTATGTATTTTACCTTTTAATTATTTGATATTTTCTTGTTTATATTAACTTTCCTGTGTTCATGAGTATTTAGCCGATATTGACTAACGTGTTAATAGATTCAAATAACACCATGATATATGTTGGATATATACCTATATGTGTGCATATAAACAGATTTCATGTGGTATCCCTCTCTAATATTTGATTCCACACAAACTGGAGCCTTGCACAGGGGAGGTTTCACTTGGGTGGGGATTGGGGCTTCTTTGCCTGTTGATCATTTTCGGAAATGGGAACGAGAGGGTGATATTACAGGAGAACCTGCGAAAACCAATCAGATGCGATTATAATGATTAAATTCGGAAGTTGCGTGAAGGTGTGTCTTAGCAACAGATCTCACTCTCACTTGAATTTACGTATGTGTTCAGGTGAGAAGATGAACCCGGTCTGGACTCAGACTAGCAATTATTTGCCCATTGACTTCAATGTTAAATGGCTGTAACATCACAGGCTGTAGCTTTTTACTCAACATTCCGTTTGTTCCAATCTTTATAGGCACAATGGGAACAACATTTGGCAATCTCCTCATCATAATTTTGTAGGGGGTTGACCATTTAGATTTTTTGCTACGCAGATTTCAAGTTGACTGGGGTGAAAATCTCACTTCCGACACAATGATTGCTCTGCAGAAAGACACTTTACACCCCCTATCCCTCCGCTGTAATATCATCAGTATTACCCAAAACTGCTATGAAATTGCAAATTTGATCCCTTTTCTCCAATTCTAGACCCAAAAGTCAACCCAAAAATGTCTATTTATAACTCGCACTACATTCGTAATTACTAGTCTTAGTCCATCTAGTTCCAGCATTCTACGATCTTTTGGAGTTATCCCCCCTTATTCGAAAACCTTTCAAGTTAATTAAAACTATAGGTGCTAATTCATGGATTCTTATTTAGTTTATTTGCTTAATTCGCGATTCAGTAACATTGATAGTTTGCCAAGATGGGAGTATATTGTACACGTTCATTGAGAATTAATTTTATTGCAAGAAATTCACACATGCATAGAAATATAATACATTATATATTCAATGATACATAAATATAAATATAAAATACGTATTTGAAATATTAAAACAAGATTAAAGACGTGACAATAAAATATCATGATCGATCGTGTCAAATGCGGCTGATAAATCTATAAGAACCAGAACTACACCTTCACATTTACCAATGGATATTAAAATGTCATTATAAACTCTTACTAAAGCCGTTTCAACACTGTGAAATTCTCTGTATGCTGACTGAAATTTTGAATACAAGTTAAAACACGATCCATGATTATGCAACTGGTTAAAAACAACTTTCTCAATAATGTACGATACCACTCTGTAATTGTAGAGTTCATTTTGATTACATAAACAAACCCATAGAATGCTGGAAAATATTGCTTTCTGTTTACCGAAAAATAAAGACGTCCTATCTTTCACACAATAACTATCAAAGTGACAACCACGTGACCAAGTAATTTTTGATTAGCTAATGTGACCATAATCATGTTTGAATAGTTTTAAAGGTGTTCATAAATGCCTAATTAATTAAAGCATTCGCGACACCTTCTATCCCTATAGCCATTAATTAACCGCGGCATTCAATAAGATCACTAATGACTGTATTAATATTTAATGGTTTGAAGGAGTATAGTGATGAGAACACGGAAGAGATGCTGAAAGATTTGCTGTATCGAGAATTGCAAATTGAGCACAAAATTGAGTTCGGAAATATTCACAGATTCGGAAAGTTTAAAGAAAACAGGAGCAGACCGATCGTGGCGAAGTTTTTGTATTATGGTGATGTGGACTTAGTAAAGAGTCGTGCCAATATGTTGAGGGGAAAACCTTATGGAATAAACGAACAATTCCCCCCTATTGTTGAACAAGAAAGGAAGAAATTGTACCCTGTAATGAAGAATTTGCGAATAAGTGGTCAGAAAGTATAATTGGTAAGAGATAAACTATTTGTTAATAATCAACTCTATGATATTACTAAACACAATGCTACACAGTTTGACCAAGACCTTCAATCAGATATGATAACGAACCGGTACGAAATCCTCCACAAGCCACATTTACTCATAATCCGATTAGACCATGGGAAACCAACAACAGAAACACAATTACTGCTACTAGTAGTTCCGGTAGACCTTCAGCGAAACGCCACGCACACTTCAGTTCAAGTTCGGAAACATCTCCAATGCGGGCATAGGTAATCTCGGGGAGTGGACTCTCTATATTAGCTTGGAATGTAGGCAAAGGACTGAGAAAAAAGCTCATGGAACCAGCTTTCATCCACATTGTTTGTGAACATGACATTTTGTGTTTGTTTGAAGCCTGGATTAGTGAAGATGATGTGATAGAATTAACAGACTATACAGTGTACAAATGTGTTAGAGACAAAGGGAGGGGTGGGGGAACTGTTATATTTATTAGAAATAAAATTATATCTGCATGTGAAATCCATATGAATATATTAGACTGCATTGTACTTATAAATGTATCATCCCCAAGTCCAGTAGACAACCCGCTTGCTATATTTGCATGTTATTTCCCCCCTTCCAACAGTGTTTTCTATGAGAGAAGAAGAGATCAGTAAAGTTTCTAATTCACATACTATTATTACTGTTGGTGATCTTAATAGTCGTACATCTATTGAATATGATTTTGTGGCCTATGATAAACTAAATGAAACAGCGGATGAGCTATTATCTAATATAATTGTTTATAACCCTGATAATTATCATGTTTTGAAATTGAGAAACAACATGGATAAAACTATAAATAGTTTTGGTAGAGAATTATTAAATATGTGTAAGGCAACTGGTTTAAGAATAATAAACGGAAGATATTTGTCTGACAAGAACGGTTCTTATACATTTAATAGTGTTAAAGGATCAAGTTTAATCGATTATTCATTGATGCACTATGACCAATTTAATTTGATACAAAGTTTTGAATCTGGTCAGTTTAATGAGTTTTCAGACCACTCACCACTTTGTATCAAGCTGAACTTCAATCTGAATAGCTCGGACGTTAGTAGTATTAATCGTCATAGTGTTATACCCAAAACTAAAGTTGTTCAGAAATGGGATCATCATAGGTGTAGTGAACTAATAAATCAGTTGAGCATTTATCAGACTGTTTTAATTGATAGTTGTACGCTAAATGACCGGTCGAAAACTTCAATAGATAATAGTGTTGACGAATTCTCCCGGACCCTTATGGAAATAATATCACCCTTCTGTATAAATAAAAGGCAACCGTATTAATTTTCTACGGAAAGACAACCCAGCCATGTTTTATAAACTTTTCAAGAAGAGTAAGAACTTGATGGACCCTTCGGTTACTATAGATAACTTATATGAACATTTTAGTAACTTGGCTTTAAATATAACACATAATATTGATCATGATGTAAACGAATTCTTATCTCAATATGATAATCAGACACTTTCTGAAAACGAAGTAAGGGATGACCTTGATGTTGGCCTTAATGGGCCAATTACTTATCACGAGATTTATAAAGCCATCAAGAACTTAAAAAAGAACAAATCTTGTGGAATTGATGGAATTATTAATGAAGTATTTATTTATTGTTCACAACAACTTGTACCCGTTTTAAACATTTTATTCAATAATATTTTAGAATCTGGTTGTTTCCCAGCTACTTGGTGTATTGGTGTAATAGTGCCTGTTTTCAAAAAGGGCGATTCCGGTAACCCTGACAATTATAGAGGAATTACCCTTGTTAGCTGCTTGAGCAAATTATTCATTGGCATATTAAACAATAGATTATTATAATATGACAAATCACATTGTAGTATTATTCATTCCCAGTTTGGTTTCAGAAAAGGTTTATCAACTACAGATGCTATTTTTATTCTAAATACGTTGATCAACCGAATTTATTGCTGTTTTTTTGACTATTCAAAAGCCTTTGACTTAATCACACGAGTAAATCTATGGTATAAACTAATTCAGGAAGGCATAAAAGGAAACATTTTAAAATTGATACGTTCTCTATATGATCAGGTAAAATGTTGTGTTAAACTACATGGTGATTTGTCGAACTTTTTTAATTGTAATTCAGGTCTATTTCAAGGCGAAATTTTAAGTCCCATATTATTTTCATTTTACATTAATGATATTGAAAACCATTTGTACTCTGAAAATTGTCCATCCATTCCATTAGATACCATGAACCTTTTTCTTTTAATGTACGCGGACGACAAGGCGATGTTCTCGGAAACGCCCGAGGGTTTACAACAGTTGCTTGACTCATTATGTAAATATACTTGTAAATGGAACCTCACTGTAAATACGAAAAAAACTAAAATTGTTGTTTTTAGAAATGGGGGGAAATTATCAGAAAATGAAAAATGGTTTTATAATGGTAATGAAATAGAAATTGTTGACACTTTTAACTATTTAGGATTGATTTTAAACTATAATGGTAAATTTTTGAAAACCCAGAAACATGTAGCTGATCAGGGCAGGAAAGCTTTATTCTCTGTATTAAGAGTATGTAATGATAACTTTTTTAACATTGAAACTAAATTGTCAGTATTTGATACTTATGTCGGAAGCATTTTATCATATGGTGCAGAAATATGGGGATTTCATAAAGCCGCTAATGTGGAGATAGTTCAATCAAATTTTTATAAGCGAATATTAGGAGTTAGACAAACAACTATGCACAGTATGATTTATTTTGAATTAGGTCGATTCCCCTTACATGTAATGAGAAACATCAGAATTTTTAAATATTGGACAAAACTACTAAATACTGATGATAAGATTTTAAAATGTTGTTTACTGGACCAGGTATCTAATAAAAGTCAATGGATTACAAATATAAGGAATGAATTATTTCAAATAGGTCTAGGCTATATTGGGAAAATAGAGAATTCTGTAACTCATCATATTTCAAATCCATTAAGCATAGAATTTTAGATATTTTTAAACAATTATGTATAGAACATATTTGTAATTCATCAAAGGGTTTCTTTTATCAGCATTACATTTCAAATTTTAACTTACAATATTATTTGTCCAAATCCATTCCATATAAATATGCTAATTGTATTTCAAAGATCCGTTTATCTGCCCAGAACTTATTTATAGAAACCGGTAGATACAACAGTGTTGCTAAAAATAAAAGGTTTTGTAAATTTTGCGATAATGATGATGTTGAAGATGAGTACCATTTTGTATTAATATGTAAAAAATATAAAGATATTCGTCTCAATTATATTAAGCCATATTATAGAATTAATCCAAGTGTATATAAATTTATTCAACTTCTGACTGTACATAATATTAAGGAATTGACAAACCTAGGAAAATATCTATCAATAGCTTTTGAATTGAGAAATAAATCTCCCCAAAATCTAACGATATAAATTGACATCTTAAATACTTGTAAAAAAATGAAATTGTCTACTCTCCCGAAAATAACAACCTTGTAAATAATTTCACATTTGCATGTATATATGTTCTGTATATTGTACTGTATCTGATGGGCAGTTAGCCCAAGGAATAAAGAACTGAACTGAACATTCATGCCTAAGGGTTGATTTACATGACAAATGAACTGACAGAGTTTAATATCCTACTTTTCGTCACCAACCGGTGTAATGCAGATGAACATACGCAATGGAATGTGCTTTGAGGACCATTTTGTCCGTACAACGACTTAGTCTTATTTCGAATTCCAACGGTGAATGGTTCTCTAGTGGCACGTCCAAGTGTACACAGGGTACAGATTTTTATCCCATTCTCACGATTAGACGTTGTTGCTTCGGGAAACCATGCCAGAAGTTCTTTCTCGGCCTAAACCGGGAAGCTGTTTTACACCTATCTGGATTCTCATCATTATCAGTGCGACGTCATGCTCATAAATTAATCATGTTTTATAAAATTTTAAATAATATAGCTCATGTTAAGGACTGAATTATATTGTTGTAATAGTTTGTAAATTGTATTTTCTTTTCATTTTATTTTGTATTTTCGTTTCATTTTTTTTTTTTTATATTTTCATTTCATTTTGTATTTTTGTTTTGTTTATTCCGGAATTATTCTTGCCGTCTTATTCCGCCAATTACCTCTTCTAAGAACCTTTACAACTTACGCAATTCCGACATGACACGAATTAAATGTAAAACAAATATTTATAAAAACTCCTTTTCGTCTTCTGCTTTAAAAACGTGAAATAGTTTAGATAATGACATACAAATGGTTTCATCTGTCTTTGATTTTAAAACTAAACTTATTCCCCCAAACTAAAGAAATGTTTTTCTATAGCAGATAGCAATTTCAAATTATCCATTGTAAACTGCGTAAAGATAAAAGTGATTTAATATACCAAAGTTCCTTATGCATATTTATGACAATCCTCGATATGACTGTGACCTCGACCTTGATCTGAACTCTTTTTACTCCACTGTGACACTGTCCGAATTACACACACCAGCGACATGATACCATTCATACCCATGTATTATAGAAATATTACTTGCCTACTCTATGGTAATGCCGAACTATCTCCTCACGTCAACTCCGATATTTTTAAAACTGTTTACTAAATATTAAACTTACGAAAAGTTTTACTCCGTGAAATATAACCCTGTGCCAAGGAATTCATGAATTCGTTTATTTTATTTTTTTTATTAAATTACTTATCTACTTATTTATGCTATAACTAAATTACTGTCATTTTTTTAAAAATTACCTATCTAAAATACTGTAAATTGTTTTAAATTACTTACTTACTAATTTGTACTTTAACTAAAATCCACAACTCCTTCATAAGAAGATATATTAATTAACGCCCGAGATACGAAATGCATAATTATTGATAGAATCATACATCCTCAAAACCAGGAAAACAATAAATTATCCAAACTCGGGGTTAAGCATCCCGTTGCAAATTTAAAACAAGTACGAGCGTACTATGGACCAGAAACTGACCATGATCTTTGAGAATATGATTCATAGAGTTCCCCCTCATTCGGGTACATATAGAATTTGAAAAGATTTTTTTTAGCGAAGGATGATACAGTTATGCCAATTTTCATGTTCATCGGATTTGAATTGATGGAGCCATATGCTTTTTCGAAGAGCGTGACCCCAAGAAGAAGTAGAAGATAAGTAGCGGTTCGCGATAAGTCATTTATAAAACTTTTGCACCAAATGGGTCCATGAAGAAGGACATGCTTTATGCGATGTACTGTAAGGGGAATCTTGCCCGGACAACGACACTGCGGCCTACTCTTACATCGATTTCTGTCAGGGATCTTTAACGTCCACATTTTTACTGCATTAAATTGGCCGACGAAAACTTGTAGTTTGTTACTCTCTCTCTCTCTACAGGTTACACTAGAACAATTTATTTATATAATTCAGTCGACCACTATATCTATCAATTTGATTGGAAAACGGCCTTTTGAGATCAGGATGTTGAAACGTCATGATTTCGAGAAAAACAAACGTCAAACGTTTATTTTTTAACAAATCATTACTATATGGATGTTTTCCATATAGGGTCGACACAAACCAGGACCAAACATATGCAGAGGCGTAGCCGTGAAATATATAAAAAAAATTTGTGGGGGGAGGGGGGTGTCCCCAAATGAAATTATATAAAATGTTGACAGCCTGTAACGCCGGAGGCGCGGGGGAGCCCACCCCCCATAATTTTTTTTAAAAGTTTCAGTCTTCTGTAAACACTGTTTTGGCATATATTACGGGGTTACCAACTACATTAACTAGCTATGGCACTTGTGACTAGAATATGACATGGATAATGACTACATGACAGACCGTGAGCAATGGGTTCAACTTAATGTGTGTACGTTTTCTAATGTTACTTAAAATCGGGCGTACCCCAGAGTTCAGCCCTTGGGCCGTTCTTATTCATTGCTTAAAATCCCCAAGAAATAAAACAATATAATAAGTTTATTGACGATATACAGGTATATATAAAAAAATATATCCCACATCTAAAATGGGTAAAAAAAAATTAAAATAAATCGAAGAATATTTAAATGGATAAATACACAGAATTCAATTAACCCATTGTTGTATTCAAATCAGTTAACCCCAGAACACGTCAGCAGGTCGTCCTTTAGTACCAAGATCGGTAACTCTAAATACTGATCCGGCCTGATCATCAGTAATATTCATATGACCGGATGTGACGTATAGCTCATCAAAGTTCTTGCCACCCCAACAACAGGAAGTGATTTGGCTTGTGGGAAAATTAATTCTGGAAATCTCTTGACCTGTAAATAAAATGTATGGTAACATTTCACAGTTTGGTTGAAATAAAAAAAAAATAATGAATGGATGAAATGGCGATTAACGGCCTACTTTTCTGCGCCTACTGGGCTAATGAAGACGGGTATACGGCCCCTACAGGGTAATTTTGCCCAGACAACAAACTCTACGCTCACATCAACGTGTATACGGTACCTCAGTTTTTCGTTCCAACTGAACACCTAAACATATTATAAACGATATAGTAAACACTTTATGTAAATATGAAGAACATTCGATTCAGAATTGTTTTCGATTTCCGATCAAACAGCACCAAAACATCTGGAAATCTACTGAATCTTGTCTGAAAATGATGAAGTTTTACTGCATGCGTTGCATGTCGCCAACCCACAGATAACCCGCGAATCGTGCCACAGATTGGACCATATGTTAGTCCCGAAATGACCTAGTTAGTGTCCAGTGGACGTTAAACTCTCCCCCCCCCCCCCGCCACGCGCGCTCTCTCTCTCTCTCTCTTTGTTTAGTTTAGGATACTGTGGATTATAACTATTGCCACCAGTGTCGACGCTAGACAAAAAACTAGTTCATATGTTTGTATCTAAGAAAATAAAAGCTTACCAGTTTCTGGATCATAACGTACTATGCAGCTTCCATCAATACATGCACACCATATTTTGTCATCTACATCCGACGTCATTCCATCGGGGTAGCCCAAAGTCTTAATGGTGTCTTCAGGGAATTTTATCAAAACTTGTTTGTTTGCTACAAAAATAATACATATACACAATCTTTATTGAACCTGGGCAGGGAGTGGGGTGACCTAATGTCTAAGGCGTGCGCTTTAGGTCATAATGTCTGTCTTGAATGGCGTGGTTTCGAGTCCCACCTTGTAGGTGACAAGGAATAGGGTCGCTTGTCTAAGTTCATGGGTTTTCTACGGGGCCTCCAGTTTTTCCCAGTGCCAAAGACTATTGTGAAGATGGACATACGCCTTACAGGGTTCTAATAGGGAGATGTTACCCGGACAGCCGACGTTAACGAAATTCAGCTGACAAGAGTCTCAGATTTTTCTTCCACCCAAACGACATGTTGCTGTTCTTGCACTACTGACATGGGACCCTCCCGGCCAATAAACAGAAGGATCGCGAGTCAGTATTTTACTCACTGAGTCACCGCGGTTCCCATTAAAAGATCAAGGTAATGCTTGTGACTGTGTCAGACGTTATGCATTAAAAGATGTCAATGTGAAAAGAATTGAATTTCTGTTCATATCGGAATGCTTACTCAGGTTGCCAGTTTCAAGATCGAAATCGAAACTCCAGATTTCTCGTGGCTTGGTATCAACATAAAACATCTTTGTATTATTGTGTGTCCAAGCTAAACCATTTGATATTGTTATCTTATCTAGATGACGATTCACCTTCAAATCTTTTTCTAGGGTGTAAAGCGAGGCGTCTGCAATTTCCGGTAAGACAGGTTCTTTCATGTATCCCATCGTACCTGCAATAACGAAAGTAAAATAACGACTTTTAGTCGAGTTCCTGTGGAGATTTATCTTGTAAAACAATAACTGTACTGGAGGATATCGAAGCTAGGAACAGTGGATAGTTAAATGTTTATTAGAACGTTACTTCCAACTTGTGTACCTCAAAATGTTCAAGGTCAGGTCCATATCCATTAGGCCTAGATTTCAACAGCATCTTCATCATGCGGATACAGAGCTTTCAGTTTTAGAAAATCCTTTAGTAGTTTGTTCTCATTATTAAGAAAAATAAAGAAAACTATGTTCCAGTGCTTGAAACAATATAATAATTATATAAATGCAGGAAATTACAACTTAATTGATTTAGAATCAAATCATCTCTACATAAACAAAACAAAAAAACAAAACAAAATAATAGGAAATTACGATGTTTAAATATGACACTATTAGGACAAGATTCAAAATGTACATCTCAATTATCACGGAATTGTTCTATGGGTATCATTTATGTAAATTGCTTTGGGAAGCTAGGTTATTTAAGCTATTCCTAGTTTCGGTATCCTATGAATAAAATACTGTATTACTATTTTTTTTAGAAAATAGATTATTTAAACCAAGTGTAAAATATTGATGAAAATAAAGGCTTGTGGAATAGATTTACGTTAAAATACATGCAGAACGCTGATGTAGGGCTATATTAGAATGCAGTATATTACGATTTAATTCAGAATAAACAAATAAAATGCATTTGAACCGAAACTATCCTTTAGTTTCAATTTAGACGTAAATAAAAAAGACATTGAAGCCTATTCCCAGAGAATCCCCTTCAAAATTAATGATTGAAAAGTAATGTTTGTTAGATGATAATATGTGAAAGTGTGATTCTTTTCTTTTCAAACTGTGTAAGAAGGGGAGAAATTGCTAAATTGCTTCTATAGTATCAGTTGGGGAGGGGATGGGGGTGACTATATTCAAATATCTTAAAACTATTTCTTTCTTCGCAAAATATGTGAAAGTGTGATGCCTTTCTTTTCAAACTGTGTAAGAAGGGAAGAATTTATAAATATCAAAATAATTGAAGGGGAAACGTTTGGTGATTTTGTTGGGTGTCTTTTTAAATGTTTTAACATATTTATTGAAACTATCAAAACAATTTTGTTGGGGAAAGTGTTTTAATTGAAAGGAAAACTTTTTAGTTATGAAAACGAATGTCTGCGTGCATTTTATCAAATGAACGTGAAAACATAAGATGGAACCTCACGACATGGTTTCTTTTGCATTGAAGGTAAATGCATGTTTATATTTAGTGTTAGGTAAATACGAAATCGACGCGAATGGTTTCGTTTTGGATAATCTATGAAAATATATTGCCAACTTATTGACAATCTTTCAATTCCCAAGCTCTGTATGCAAAAACAACACCCATTTCATTACCTAATTAGTAAATTATATGTTAATGGTTAAATGTTGCCGGCTATAAATTGTCGATATTTTAAAATCTAATACAGTCTTCAAACTTTGCCACAATGGTTCGAATAGCAATTTTTGGTTCAAGCTACATCGATAAACTAAAGGAGTACCGCAGAGGATCGTTGAGCATGAACGATAACATATATATTCAATTTTTTGGTGAAGGAGGGATGACCGCCTCAAGAATTCCTGATCATATGTTACGATCCTTGGTACGATTTCAACCAGAAATAGTGCTCATCCATCTTGGTGGCAACGACATCGGACATAGATCAAACCCATCAGCTGTATTCCAGGACCTAAATACATTAGCCCAAACACTAATTAGCAGTTGTGGCAGCAAAGTGATATTTATTGAAATACCGACCAGAAGCAATTTCAAGTACAACCCTTTGTTGACAAGAGAAAACTTCGACATCCAACGAATAGGAATCCATAGAAGAATTAAGCTCAGCTACGAATCAGCGAATTTCATACACTTAAAAGATATTAAACTTCCGAAACATTACAAAAACGACAAAGTTCATTTAAAGGCTCAATACCACTCTTGTAACTGAATAATATGTCCCAATCTTTATTCTGGTCAACAAATTGTACTATTTTACAATATTTCAATTAATTAATGATACAAATTTCATCTTAACACACCTAATTTAAAAAAATATGGAAAAATTCAACTAAATGATTTGAAAAGCCTGAAGTAAAGCTTTTCAAATGGACAAGTAAAATAGAATTTAATGGATAATGTACCCAACAGGTAGGACACTAACACATCTAGTACTTAAAATAAGGCTATTTTCTATTTTCTGGAGCTGTCAAGCCAGCAAGAGAGTTATTGTCCCTTTAAATACCGACGGTATGAAAAAGTTCTCATGCAACATGACATGATAATGCAGCAGTGATTAGCTTGCTATGAACGTTCATATTCTAAACTTTCATAGTCATTTTTGTAATTTGTATGCTTGATAACGACCAGCGAATTATTGTCGAAACGTCGTGTGTATATAATATAGTGATTGTTATCCATAGAACTGTGTTTTGTTATATTCTATTCAATCGCTAAATGCCATTCAAGGATTATTTCATAGTCTTATATATGTATTCATTATTCATAACATACAAACAAGGTTAATTGCTCATATTCCTATTCCTAACTAATCTCACTTATTCAAAGTTCGCCTATCTTAGTCTAATTTGTTGGAAAATGGGAAACTGTATAAAACAAAAATAGCAAGTATTACATATTGCTCTCCTGCGTTTAGAGGTAAACTTTATTTTGTTGTAATATTCGAACTTTGTTTTTTTATAAAATGTAATTGAACTGCTTGGCACTAACTAAAAATAAAGATTATAAAGAGTAAATAAAGTGAAGAGCAAGTACTTTTATTATTAAAGAATATAACAGGTCTGTATTTTAATTAGATTGGGCATACACTTTATCAAGTATTCTATGAAATTGTCAAAACTACACGAGTATCAAAGTGTACAAACTCATAACTTTCTTTAAAGCAATAAAACTGGACCATAAAATTGTCCTTATCAGTTGATTAGGATAGGGTCATAAAACCTATGATCCAATCAGCGAGGGTTTTTTATCGGTGAAAAGTACATTAAGTCAAACAAATTGATAAAAACCACAAATTTTTGTTTTCTTTTTAATAAAACAAGCGTAAGATAACGCTTCGGCTCTACAATTATGTCTATATCAGTACATAAACGCCGTGGCCCTTATACAGGAATTTCTGCAATGACTAGGTGGATTGATGCCGATAATTATTGTCTTGAAAACGATGATGACGTGATATTATGTGAAACAGAATCTATCAACAACTGTGATTCTTTTAACGAAGGTACCGATTTCCTAACAGGTAAGAGTTACACTTCACATTCTATAAAACCGTCTTAGCGTGATGCAAAAAGAAGATTGTGTGTCTATTTAATAAGTATTTATATGCACACTACTCTCATAATATTCCCCAAAACTTACGAATAGATGTCTATTTACATTGATTATTTGAGATCCAAATAGATTATCTATTCTACACATAAAGGGCAAGAAAAACGGATTAGGCTATTAATGTTATAGTCGACTGGTTTATACTATAAGATCTGTACATCCCGTAAACAATATTTTACAACATATAAATAATAGGCCCCAAGACTGTTTGTATTGTAATTTATGTTGCAAATAAGCTAGCTTAGAATCAGCTTGCACCATAGCACCTCGATTTATCTGATTTTATAAAATATTAAATCCAATTAGCCAATTTATATATAAAATATTTCAATTGAATATCATACCTTAATATTTGCAAATAACAAAAGAATTCATACTAATTTTTATTTATCCGTTCACCAGGAAGTATATAATATGTATGAATATAATGTAGTAAATTTGTATCAAATTTTATATAAATTATTTAGGCCCCCTATACTGATTTCGGTTGATTAATGGAAGCTATAGCCACGTTGACTTTGAAATAAGGTGGCCCTATTTTTCAAAAGGCGAAATTTTAAAGAAATGATCTAAAACTATCTTTTAGGTAGATATATATAACTATGGATCTCTGTTGGTGTTTACTAGCCTATATGTTCACGAATAATATTGATCAACACTCAGCTGTCAAAGCAATTTGTAAATAATGGTTAAAAGTCAAAGAGGCAACCCTCTGTGCTAAAAATAGAACAACTATGGCGGCGCCCATGGCGTGTACTCACAACACAGGAAATGTCACAGTTATCGAGACATTAATAATACACAGGAGAGTTGTTAGATCTGAAAGAAATAAATAAAGAAGTGTTTGATTCTCAACCGATTGCCGACACACTTTCATTCTCGACTGTCTGCCTGTATTTATTCATTGACAAAATGTGAGTGCCTGAGTAATAATGTATCCATTAAGTAGGCCTAAATGTCATCATGTATTCGTGACGTTAGTCAAGCTTGATTATGTGGTCTTACAGGCCTTATTTTGTCTCTATGTCCTATAATACGGTATCGGGAGGCTGATCACATTGTTTTTACCGCAGGTCTGTTATAAATAGCTTTTTTTGTTTCAGAAGATGTTAATATTGATGAATTATGTTCTTCAAGTATTAGTAATGAACAAATAACGTCTGATGAAGATGATAGTGGACTGTACACTGATGATGAATATGACTCTTGTATCTGAAAATGAAAATACACAGGGTAAAATCAAAATCAAACTGCACAAGTAACATGCTTTCACCAAAACAGAAAAGGTTTCTGGGAAGGTATACAGTATCTGAAGACATAATTAAAATATACAAGAAAACCAGACGAGGTTGTGCATCTGGAACGAAGAAACGTCACAAAATAAATAAGACAAAATTGTCAGACAAAAGTGAATCAAAAAAACAAACCCTTCCATTTAAATCCAAACCTTTCTCAATTGCCCTTTGGAAAACGCAATCTTCCCGAAATAAAACAACAGAAATCTTTGATCTGTTAATTGATTTCATTCACGATATTTTTGGACTGGGTTCTGACTCCATCAGATTCTACTATTATCAATAACGTAAGTGT